AACGTCATACTTGACATAACTGGTCTAATCTAGTTTGACCTAGTACAAACCGGTTATGTAGGGTATTGCGTAAGCTTAGCCCTTAAATACGTGCTCACTCAGAGTTCAGTGTAGTAGTAAGAAAGTTGTCAGCAGAGMGTGCGTGTAAAAGAGCTGATAGCACAGAGCCAACAACGAAGTAACACCAAGCCATTAGAGCCATAYTCAGAGAATCCAGATGAGGTCATCCTAAAGGTACTAACGACACACAAAATAGAAGAAGAAGAAGAAAACTGAAGAACGACCCGAAACTTTGTGTCCGTTGGGAAAGTATTACTCCCCCACTTCCCCTTCGTGACAGCAAGACCTCTACGTACCAGAAATCCTACCTCATCAGGACAACTAGAATATGGAACGCTCTCGCTGATGAACTAAACCTGAAAATGGACAAACTCAACACATTTAAACGCGCCATGTTAAGTTACTACGTAACGTCACTGGACAGTTACAACTGTTACGACCCACGTACTTTCAAAACAGTTTGTTTAAAATGTAACTCTTGCAGAAGCCTCACTCTTGCTACCTCCTGTTGTTAGTTATTTGATTCAAATGTGCGAATATATCTACTTAAATTATGTTTATGCACTAAGTTTCATTTAAGGCATTACTTTGGGCCCGCAGTAATTGGCTTAACGCTGTTGCGGTCACCCTGTCATATATATCACAGTATTTTTTTTCACTTATTATATTTCCAGTTTAATATATGGCGAAACTAATAAATAGATAAAATAAATAAAAAAAGGGCTGCATATGTCTCTGTACTGTAATATAAACACTCTGAGAGCTGTAGAGCACTCGAAAAGCAAGCGAAACACTCGGCGTCAAATTTTGCTTCTCTCTCKTGCTCTACAGCTCCCAGCGTGTTTAAATCACAGAAGCACAGAGACGTGCGCGTGTTTTATATTCCTTAAGCAAGAGAAAATGAACTAAGAGAAGCAAGGAATTCCCCCTATATAGCCTTGTGACCATCATGTGCACAGTTTGATGCTATTTTTAAAACTATTTGTTATTCTGCACACGCATTTACTGCGCGCGCTCTACGCTGTTTGCTTACGTTTTGGGGTTTTTTCCTTATTTCGACTCTGCCCTGGATATAGATGTGCACGTCGAAAGATTGGCAAATACGACAGGAAATTGAAGTAGTAATTTGTTCAACTTTTTGGAGTATTTTTACATTTTCCCCCCAAAGCTTTCGACCTAAATCGTCATCTTGAGGGCAGATTTAAACATTTGAACATAAGAAAAGCACAAGAAAACGTTAGCAAACAGCGTAGAGTGCGCGCGTACTATGCGCGTGCAGAAAATCAAACGATTAAATAAATGATATTATTGGAAGATATTTTTAGAATAGATTCTAAAAATAACATCAAAGTGTGCACATGATGGGGCACGGGGATTCCTTCTCTTACTTCACATTCTCTTGCATAAGATATATGTATAAATGTATACTACAACCTTTCTGCAATCAAGTGTATATACACCTAATTGAAAAAACGTAGCCGGTTCGAGACGGGTCATATCATCTAAGCTAAGACCGAAAAGGATTTTGGGTACTC